GCTTGATCAGGTCTGATCAGGTCTGAGCGTATTTAATGCTTCAGACATGAACAGGCATGAGCAGGCATGAACAGGCTTGATCAGGTCTGAGCGTATTTAATGCTTCAGACATGAACAGGCATGAGCAGGCATGAACAGGCTTGATCAGGTCTGAGCGTATTTAATGCTTCAGACATGAACAGGCATGAGCAGGCATGAACAGGCTTGATCAGGTCTGAGCGTATTTAATGCTTCAGACATGAACAGGCATGAGCAGGCATGAACAGGCTTGATCAGGTCTGAGCGTATTTAATGCTTCAGACATGAACAGGCATGAGCAGGCATGAACAGGCTTGATCAGGTCTGAGCGTATTTAATGCTTCAGACATGAACAGGCATGAGCAGGCATGAACAGGCTTGATCAGGTCTGAGCGTATTTAATGCTTCAGACATGAACAGGCATGAGCAGGCATGAACAGGCTTGATCAGGTCTGAGCGTATTTAATGCTTCAGACATGAACAGGCATGAGCAGGCATGAACAGGCTTGATCAGGTCTGAGCGTATTTAATGCTTCAGACATGAACAGGCATGAGCAGGCATGAACAGGCTTGATCAGGTCTGAGCGTATTTAATGCTTCAGACATGAACAGGCATGAGCAGGCATGAACAGGCTTGATCAGGTCTGAGCGTATTTAATGCTTCAGACATGAACAGGCATGAGCAGGCATGAACAGGCTTGATCAGGTCTGATCAGGTCTGAGCGTATTTAACGCTTCAGACATGAACAGGCATGGATAGGTCTGATCAGGTCTGAGCATATTTAATGCTTCAGACATGAACAGGCATGGACAGGCTTGATCAGATCTGATCAGGTCTGAGGGTATTTGATGCTTCAGACATGAACAGGCATGGACAGGCTTGATCAGATCTGATCAGGTCTGAGGGTATTTGATGCTTCAGACATGAACAGGCATGGACAGGCTTGATCAGATCTGATCAGGTCTGAGGGTATTTGATGCTTCAGACATGAACAGGCATGGACAGGCTTGATCAGATCTGATCAGGTCTGAGGGTATTTGATGCTTCAGACATGAACAGGCATGGACAGGCTTGATCAGATCTGATCAGGTCTGAGGGTATTTGATGCTTCAGACATGAACAGGCATGGACAGGCTTGATCAGATCTGATCAGGTCTGAGGGTATTTGATGCTTCAGACATGAACAGGCATGGACAGGCTTGATCAGATCTGATCAGGTCTGAGGGTATTTGATGCTTCAGACATGAACAGGCATGGACAGGCTTGATCAGATCTGATCAGGTCTGAGGGTATTTGATGCTTCAGACATGAACAGGCATGGACAGGCTTGATCAGATCTGATCAGGTCTGAGGGTATTTGATGCTTCAGACATGAACAGGCATGGACAGGCTTGATCAGATCTGATCAGGTCTGAGGGTATTTGATGCTTCAGACATGAACAGGCATGGACAGGCTTGATCAGATCTGATCAGGTCTGAGCGTATTTGATGCTTCAGACATGAACAGGCATGGACAGGTCTGATCAGGCCTAATCATACCTGAACAGGCCTGATCAGGTCGGATTTCAGGTCTGATCAGATATGAACAGGTCTGATCAGTCCTGAACATTTTTTCCCGGGCAACTTGCTCCTCCCGTTTTCTTTTTGTTCCAATCTTATTTCTAACAATACCTCCACTTGAAAGAATGCGTGATCGATATACGTTATTATATCTGGTAAATAATTTGCCTTTTGTCAAAAGTTTAGTCTTAATGACAGAGTCGTAACGATATGGCACGTAGTACGAATATTCAGACTCTGTCGGAAATGTTTTCGCAATTAAGGCAGCTGATTCTTTGAACCGTGCGGGAGTAATCCTGTAAATTGAAAAATAATTAAGTATGTTAATAAAATATAACGCGAAAATTATAATTATCGGAAATGTATAGAAGAATCCTAATATAGTAAGTTAATAACACAATGAAATAATAATGGATGATAAAGAAAAGAATAAAATCCATCTTACAATAATTGCGGGGAAGTACGCATTTCGGAATCTAATATTACATCCATCAAATCATTTCTAAGGTTATCTGTTAAAGAATGATTAGATCAATAGTAATATAAAACACCGATTCCTAATATTGATGACTTTAATGCATCAATTAAATCAGTTATAGGTTTAGACAGGTTGGGGCTTAAATCCGCAGAGTCAATTAAACTAAAATCTAAACTTTCGGAAACAGAAACTGAAAGATCGTAGAAACGTGAAAATTCTTCATGATCAGTCTCAATAATCACTCCTGGAATATGGAATAAAAATAATGATTATAGGCATTCAAAAGTATTGAAATGATCAAGTGAAAATTGAATAATTATCAGTAAGATAATTTATAGAAAATATCAAATCAACATAAATGAATACCTGAGAAATCTAGCTGAGAATTAGAATTTTCATCTGAAATAATGTAATTCGCATTAACAGCACCAAATTCTTGTTTCCATTTCATCAGGAATTTTACTTAAGAACCGATTTTGGGAATGAGTTGCTTCACAAATTCTTCCGTTAAATTTTTAAATACATCTCTGTCAATTTCTTCGTCTATAAATAAATCATTATAGTTTATTTTTTGAAATAAATTTAGTAAACTTTCTAATCATTATTAAAATATTATCAACTAAATAAATATTTTTAAATAACAAAAACATTTCAAGTGCAGAAATTAAAAAAAAAACTTGAAGCTAAGCTCTTCAAAAATATTTTTAACTTCCCGCTAAAAATCTCAGATTTTCAAAAATCGGGAAGTTATTGTTTTCACCCCGTTTTACAAAAATCGAGTTTCCATCAGATCTCGACGTTTGAAGGTCACAGGAAGCTTCCCTGACTATTTTTACGATGATGTCCGTACGTCTGTATGTATGTGTGTGTGTGTGTGTATGTGTGTGTGTGTGTATGTGTGTGTGTGTGTGTGTTTGTTTTATATGTGTGTGGCTTTGCTTGTCCATCTTTTTACAACATCTGTGAATTTGGTAATAATTTATTATTTAACTTAGTAATTATAATATTAAGAGAACCAGTCATCTGGAAATTTTTTTTAAATATTGATAATCTCATATTGATTAATAATTATTTGCATACATAAGTAATTATTTAAATTTTCTACACTGGCGCATCTTTCACTTTTTAACTTCTCGCTAAAAATCTCATATTTTCAAAAATC